TTTTTTTTTATACGTTTTTTATATATACCTTCTTAATGTTAACAGATAAGATGGTTTTGGGAGGTCTTCCATGACTTACCGGAAAATGAAAAGAAAAAGTTTCTTTTATATTTGACAGGAAGTGACCGTATACCCATTCAGGGAATGAAGGCCATTAAAGTAAATTAACTCCCGTTTTACTTTTCTGTGACCAATATTTCAAATTCTGTATTTTTAGATTTGTATACAACCAACAAATGACGACCGATTTCTTCCTGTAGCTCATACGTGTTTCAATTTATTAGATTTGCCTCGCTATAATACAAAAGAACGTTTGAAATATAAGTTACTTCAGGCCATTCAACAAACTCAGGGGTTTAGCTTAGTATGACTTATAAATACAAATTTCAAATTAAAAATTACATTAAGAATAATTAATTATTTTCGCCAGACAAAAAATTCCTATAAGGGAATACATGGATTTGTTTTCGTTGAGTCGATAGGTTGTTTTGAATATTGATAGAAAATTTTTATTGTTTGATCCAAAATTTTAAATGAAACTGTTTGCATGTGTAAGCATATGTATTTATGAACATAATATTTGCAAATAATAAAATGTATTGAAAGTTTCGCGTTAAATGAAAGCTTATTTACATACATTTATGTGCATATTTTGGTTATCATATATACTAGCTTGTACCTGTATAATGGCTTATGCTTATAAAACAATAACAACGTCCTTACAAATCACTATTCTTAGTATAAAAACAATATAAAAATTGTTATTATCAATATCACTACATATTTTACATTTAATGGTAAAATATTTTTTACATTTTTATAAATGCTTTAGAAAAATGCTGTAAGTTGTTATGGAGGAATAGCGAGTGTTCGGAAAGTGTTATAGTTTGAACTAAACATATAAACATGCATATTATGTATAAACATTTTCTAGTATTTGAAATAAAAAACTAAGAATATTGTAAACTTTTAAGGTGACGTATGCAGTAGTCGTACTAGACATTTTTCTCAGACACATCAAATCTCCAGAAGTCTACATTGATATCAACGCTCTTGCTTTTGTGAAATGAATAGCTGGTGTCAATATTATATTTGAGCTCCGCCACCACATTGCCCTTGACATGCCAGTCCTTAACCTTTTTTTGTATGTAGTCGCTAGTGGAATCAAAAAATATAAAATTATAGACGATATTTGTACATTGCTGAAAAATTCATAGGCAAATAGGGAAAATTACATACAGTGCCGGACAAAAGTGTTGCCACATAGAATTTCTCGCAATGTATGCAAAGTTTTTTATTCTAACTTTTTCGTTATTTTTTTATAGAATAAAGATCATATAACCTAAAAATATTAAAAAAGATCTCCAAACTTGTAAAAAACTCAGAAATATTCAATAAATGTGCATACTAGTTTGCAGCTTTCTAATCAGATTTTTTAGAAAATCTTATGTATGCAGTTTTATAGCCCAATCAGTTTTAGTATAACAAAAGTCAAGTTTGAAGATGCTAAAAAATCGCGTTGATTTTTGTCAATTTTTTCCACAAAGTTTCTTCGAGAATTTGTTTATATGTTATAATAAAAAACTTTGCATACATTGCGAAAAATTCTCTGTAACAATACTTTTGTCCGGCACTGTATGTACATCATAAAACAAAAACTTTCACAATCTGAACCCCATATGTATTGTGAAAACTTGAATATCCTCTATAAAGTTCAGAGCACTTTAAAATTTGCAAGTTGCCGTTAAATTTTTGACCTTATGGTTTTCATTCAGCGAATGTACAATATCAACAAATAAATGTATTATCTAAAAACAACAACATTTTGCTATACCGTGTTGAGCTTTTGTGAAATGAATAAACTGCTCCTGATGCTAGAGTTATGCCAGTCTGAACAAAACACATATCGATACCACTGTTATTTTTCGTACCAAAAGGTGGATTGGTAACAATCGTATCAAAAGCATTATCCCATTTCTTACTGTTAGGCAATGTCAATACGTCACATAAAACGCAATCTAAGTTCGGTAGTTCCATATCTGTTACATTTTCGCGAAATATCTTTAAAAAATTTAGGAAAAGCAAAGTTGTTACCCAAGAACGAGTTAATATGCATATAACAATGCTATTTACATTTAAGGCATCATCATCGATTTCAAAACCTACGGTCATGCCAGCGCCGAGCAGAAAAGAGCCGATACTCAACATCCCAGAACCACAGCCCAAGTCAGCAACATATTTTCCTTCGATATCACCGTATAATGTCTGAAATATGAGCATTGCCGACATCGTTAAAAGCTATTACATATTTTAATTAATTACAAACATGTTAGTAAGGCACACAACCACAACATTCATCGATGTATTTAAATTCATTCACATAGGGGACTATGCGGCAATAGCAAATAATAGTTGTTATGCACAATCCTTGAAAACAAAGGGCTTTTTATACAGACCAACACATTTTTTGTTAATATATAATTGGGAAACAAAGGAAATTGTGTTACATTGATATTATTTAAGCATGTTGAGGTGTCTGTAGTTTCAAATGGAATTGTATGGGTCGATTACGGATAGCAACGCAACCTCAGTTGGGTTGCCATGGGCAAAGCATTGATTTTTTTTTCTTGTGGATTGATTTTGTTGGCTGGTTCTCAGCAAAGCTAGATCATAAATAAAAATCTGTGATGAATAGCAAAGATAGTAAAGTCCTATAAATTTGGAGATGATAAGGAATCCATCGTAGATCTTCGAATTCGAATGCCTGCTACGAATATGAAAAAGTTGCTATCACTGAATCCGAGTGAACTCGAAAATATCGTTGCCAGCTTCGAATGCTGATTCAAAATTAGCTAAGGCAAATGAAACAATAGACATTTTTTCTGCCCCAGCAGTCGCTAAACAATTACTTCCTCGCTTCATACTTACGTTCGTAGCCACTTGGATTCTGTGATAGCACTTTCGTAGATTTCGCGAAAAACGATGCTACGATGAATTCTGTGATAGCCCTGAATAGAATCTTGAAGTATCAGGAACCAAGAAAATTGAGTGTGAATAACCTGCAGAAACAGTTGAAACCATAAAAACTTCTGCGACAACCACAAAAATTCAGTTAGCAACTCATTTACCAGCGTTTAGTTGCCACTGGCAACGCAACTGAAGTTCGGTTGTCATCCGTATTACCGAGCCAAAATAAATGGAAGCAGCAATGAAACGAGATAAGTAGCCAAACAATCGCAATGGTTGTGTCCTTACTTATATTTTATGAATTGTTCATCTTTACTGCTAGACCTGTATGTTGTAGAGCACACAACTTGCTATATGCGGGGGAGTAATGTACTGTTCTAATTTTATTTTCGGTTTTTCAAAACTATCCAAACCATTTAAGTACTCCTCCAGTTTTTTCAACTTTATGCACGCCATAGTTCTAGTTCATCGGTGGCGCAGGATCAAGGCGGGGTAAAACAGGTATAAAAGTGTTTCCGTAATAAGAATCTTGTGATACAAAGAATCCTAATGTAGTGGATGTTGTTGCATTAAACACCGAGCGTGGTGCGTTTGCCAATCCACTACTTTGAGAAAAGTCCGAGGATTGCAAAAGTTGACTTGCAGGTATCTATAATCGATTTAGTATTCATTTCATATTTGTATGTTGCGAGCTACGTAGTTACATACTTGATAAAGGGTATTTGTTGATATTCCTGCACCTAGTCCGGGTATGTTGCCTTTCTGCAATAGTTGCTTCTTCAACTGTAGATCCTCGAGAATTTTTCGGTTGGTTTCTATTTTAAATTGCAACTGAGTACATGAAGATATACCTTCGATATATTTTATAACTTATTTTACCTTGTTGAGCCCCCAATGTAGGAAAATTCGCCATTAACCCGAAATTTTTATTTATATCAATACAATGAATTTAACCAGAAAGTCCAATAAAAAGGAAAGACAAATATTTAAGCGGCACTCGCACTATACAACAAGTTACGCTGCAACTTACTTAGAGTTAACACATGATTCAATAATACAAGGTTGGATAAATATTGACATTTGTGTCAATCGACTGCCTTGTAAGGTTGCATTTGAGAAGGAAAAGAAGCGGGTAACAATTTTATCTCCTTTTGTGAAAAGGTAGTAAGAAAAGTAAGTAGTCTGGTAGTGCTGAAATGCGTTTTTGTGTACAAATTAAATATATGTGACCTGGTCTACGGAAAGGGGGCTTAGGTGTCAAAAAATCAATTTTCACTTTTTGGTTGATTCGGATGGAAGATGAGGTGCTTTTTCACGTGGTGAAAAGCAGAAAATCCTAACTTGCTTAGAAGTGTACTAAAAATGTAGAGAAAGAAGAGTAAAAATACGACAAAATATAATTTATTGGTAATGAACAAAATACATTGAATTATAAGCTATAAAGACATGATTATACACTAGAAAAACGTATTATGGGCCAAAAATAATAATGCTGAGTAGTTTATGTATTTTTCTTTGTAGTCGTTTTCCTTGAGATCTTTTTACGTGTGTATCATCTTCTGCCTGAGATACGCATACTTCGTCTTCATCATCATCGCTCTCTTCATAGTTTTCATCATCGTTTTCTTCATCCTTTTCATGGAAATATTGTCCGTATACGGCACTGAACTCCTCATCAACACTCATGTTTCATTTCATGCGAAATGCGAAGACGATAATCAACAGAAACAGTAAACGTCACTTCTTCAGTGTTACTTTTTTAAATGTTCCACACTAGCAACTTACACGATGAACTATAATAATATTCCGACCAACAACAATACTTACTGGAGCAACAACAACACTTACTGGACCAACAACAACACTTACTGGACGTCCGGCGCGGAGAACAATTAACGAGATAATGAGAAACTGACGAAACGAGTTGCTTACTTTTAACAGCTTTTTCACAGAAAACTAGTTTTCGCACGTAAGCTCCCTTTTCGTAGACCAGGTCACATATATATATAAGTATATATTAAACAAAATTAATGGAATTCAAACAAATCCTTTATTCAAAGGGACTATATGAAGAATTATACAAATAGTAAAGATGCAGTTGATTTAATGGATATAAATTAATCTTTTAAAAATTTTTATATTTGTTGCATTTAAAGATTACATGTTCAATATCTTAAATTGAATTGCATTTGGTTTTTTTTTATTTAAATTTTTTAGTAATGTTTTCTACTTTTTCCTCCAATCAGTCTTGTTAATCATTATATTGGTTACATTTTAAAGTTATGTCTTCAATATCGCAATTTAATTACATTTGGTTATTTAAAAATCTAATTTTTGCGGAATGTATTTACTTTTTTCTCCAATCAGTCTTGTTAATCATTATATCGGTTAAACTTTAAAAATATGTCTTCAATATCGCAATTTAATTACATTCCGTTTTTTAAAAATGTTAATTTTTTGTAATGTTGTGTACTTTTTTCTGCAATCAGTCCCAATAAGCACAAGAAAATATCTTTATTAATATTTCCACTTTCGCTTTTATGGAGTGGTATACTTAGGGCCGGTTGTTCAATGTCTGGTTATCACTACTTGCCGGTTAAACATCATTATCGACGATTTCAACATCATGCATATAACATGTGATCGATAAAGCAGTCGTTGTATCTAACCGGAGCTTCTACCTCCGATTTGTGCTAATCAGACATTGAACAACCGGCCCTTACTTGGAAATATGCAAAGGCTGCACTTGACCAACCAAACGCTGCAGTGGTAAAAATGCATGCACCAGCAAACGTGGACGGACACCCAAGTGATCCTGGTCTTCACAGGAGAATATATTTACCCATACGTAGACGGACACACAGGGATCCTAGCATGCAAAACTTACTTGCAGCGGCTGCACTTGTTGTAAAACGCTACTTTTTGAACACAAATTATGAATAACTCCGATACCCTGCAAATAAATATGTAAATTATTGTTGTAATTCAAATTATTTCTATTATTTTTTATTTTTTAGCCATACTTACTTGAATTTGCCCAATAAGAAAATGAATTCCCACGAAACAATCGATGAAAATATCGGCAGTGTTGCCTGTTGAACTTTTTATACGAAGACAATTTTTCCCCTTGTATTTTAGTAGTAGTTGCTACAAATCAAAAAAGAAGGCAACACAGGCTAAAGCAGAATGCGGGAGCGAGACAACTGCCAGGTTATCCAACCTTGTATTATTGAATCATGGTTCATGGGTACAATACAATTTGTAGCCGACTTTGTATCAACCACCTGAAAGTGGATTGGTAGTATGTGGAACGTAACTCTCACACACCCACACATATATAAGCCGTTTTTGATTCGCCACTAGCAACTCCTTTAAATCCATAGCTGAACCAAAAAGACAAGATCACGACAGCAGAAGAGTGGCCCGTTATA